TTTTTTTCTTTTCTTGCATTATTTTTTAATATGGCTTTATCTTTCCTTAGCCCTTTTTATAGTGCCCTTTCCACTTTTTATAGACGCTCGCTCATTCTTTGTCGAAATCGTCTATTCTCCTTAAATTGGTATTAATGGCGATCTAATTGAATTTTATGATGGATAATTATGGATAATTGTTATCTGCGTAAAACGCAATAAACTTAATCGCTTTATCGTGCGCTGTCTATTCCGAAAAGTCAAATGAAAGGTAGAACATATGATTCCTAGTTCACACTCCGAGAATATCAGAATTTGTGAGAATATTCATGTCATGTTTTTTGAATGGATCGAATTTTTCAGCTATAAATGATAATTTCGCCGATCTATACCCTATGATTTCTTGCTGCCAGTGGTGCAATAAAAACAATTGCAACAACAATCACATGTTTATCCAGCGATTTACACTTACACAAGCTACAACGAATATTCAAAAGAGTGAATACCCATTAGGGTACGTGACCCGTTTAGTGGGGGAAGGAGGATCTTCAAAATACCACGCTTGGTCAGAATGAGGGGCGGGGGGCTTGGGTTTTTATCACGTAGTCAATGTCCTCTTAGGAAATCTAGCGTTTTTTTCGAGCTACATTCATATATGGCGTGCGTTATTTTCAGGCGAAACATTAGCTGAGATTTGGTCCCAGATGAAGTCAGATCGGAAATTTTTCCATCAATGCTTGTGCGCCAATGTATAACACTACGTCCGGATTTTTCACAAAATGCCCATCTCTTAAAAACGGCATGACCGGAAGAACGTCTCAATTTGTGCACTTTATTTTACCTTAAAAATTTCTATAAATAACCATCGAAAAAACTTGCATGATGGTGAGGTGGATGACATGTCTCGCGTGCGACCACTGCGCGTTCTCTCCTGGAGAACACAGGAAGCCTTATGTGTCATGAAGAAAAGCGTGGAGTGGACAGATGTCGAGGCTGTCAATAAAAAGATAATAATCACGTCTGAGGAAACTCTCGATGTTACCGCCCCGTACCTGTGGGGTAGGCAGCTCCATGTCATGGGAAGGGATCCAGGTGATAGATTGTTCATTATCAACTTTCATGAACGGTCAAGAGGATTTGGTATTCATTAGCGACTTTCACGTAAGGAATGAATTCACTTTATTCCAAAAAGTTACTAATCTGAAGAATAAATTACCAAGTTACCAAATTCGAAAAAGCAACAATAAAATTGCCGATTTTGGCTAAAAATTACCAAAACGGCAACGCTGGTCCCGTTCCATCTGCTGTGTGGGATTCCATTATGCCACAGCCTGCTTAACGGACAAATTTTTACGTATACTCTGTCTGGAAGACCAGCTACTGTAAGAGAAAATAATGTTTAGGAGTTGTAACTCCTATTCTATCGAAAAAAACCAGAACCAAACTGGAAAATAAATAGCTGTAGCCTTTGTGGGAAGTTTGGCTAAGCTTCAGGGGCTATACATATATGGGTCGACCAACCAAGCTTCCGGAGCTTCTGATGTGTCACTATAGATTTGTGTAAAGTAGCGTTGTCCTGATGGCAACTCTCTGGAATTTGTCAAAGCTGGGCGCAGCTGGACGATTGCTTCCTTCAAATGGCACAATTGTTGGCAATATAGAGGATATGTATAAGAATTAAGAGTATTGCCGTTGGAGAGTAACTCATAATGGATGATTCCATGCTAACCAAATCCACCAAACACTCAGTAAAACTTTCCTGGCCTTCAATCTTGGCTTGGCAAACGTTTCCGCCGACTCACCGCAATTCAACGACGACTGTGGTTGCTTGTCGTTGGCGTAAGCGTTGACTTTTCTTCATCAGTGGTGATGGGCTTTTTTGTGATTCAGCAACGATTCGCAGAAGAGACGGCCGTTGGTGCGGTGTTTAGCTCCTGAGTAAACAAACAGTGCTTACATCGCAAGCGGCTTCATAATGGACTGGAAAAGTTTATTTTGGCTATGTCATAGAGAGATGTTTGTTCTCCAATTGTTTCTTACGCATAGAAGAGGGGAATTTCTTGTTAATTAAATTATGGCACAGCACTTTGCCTTTGCAAATTCATATGTATGTACTACATACTACATACTAAACACATATTTATGTATATTAGGGTGGTCCATAAAAAGTATAGTCTGTTTTTTTTGTAAATAGAATAAAACAACTTAGAAATGGTATAGCATTCTTGAAAATCAATATTTTTCGATCGAAAAACTCTGTTTCTCCTAAGGAGACTTCTCCAATAACACAGGCTAACAAATATGGAAAAAAGTTTTGGTGCGGCAATGTTAAAGCTATTTTTGATAGGTGTTTGGTGCTAATTGTGAATTCGTAAGTATAAAGTTTCCACCAGCCACAGGTTTTGCAAAAAACTTGGTAAAAGTGTCAAAAAATAGCGTTTTTTGCAATATTTCAGAAGCTCTAGCAAAGAAACAAAGGGTGACAATCCTACAGCGTGAGAGCATTTAAATTCGGACGCTACTTTTTTCACATGCATTTTTTTGGACCAACCTAATGTACACATTTTTAGGTATTTAACTAAAGTACTAATTGTGTCTTATGCCTATCGTACTTTGCCCAACGATTTAAACGTTTTCATATAAAAGCGCTTAATCTCCACCGGCGCGCCAACAAAGTATTTGTGTAATTTGTCTTGAGCACATCGTTTACGAATTCAGCCGCTTTATAAACCCACCATGACCAGTGCTTTTCAATTCCGTTTACTTATGCTGGCCACTTTTTGCTGGCTTGGAATTCAAGCTGGCGTCATAACAGTCCACTCAGACATTCCAAACAATCTTGAGCAACAAGAAGGACGCATCGTGGGTGGCCAACAAACGGATATAGCCAACCATCCTTACCAAGTATCCATCGGGCTTGATTCCGCTGTGCTTATACATATCTGTGGCGGTTCGATTTATGCGCCACGTGTTGTTATTACTGCCGCACATTGCCTGAAAGGACGTTACGCTTACACGCTACGCGTTGTTACAGGTTTAACCACGCTCGCCGACTCAGCTGAACAAGGTGTAGCGGTGCAGAAGCTAATCTATCACAGTGGCTATGTGAAGAAAACGCATGCGAATGATGTTGGTTTGGTAATTCTGAAGGAAGCTTTGACATACTCAGCCAACGTGCAGCCTATCGTGCTGGCACGCACGGCGACCGTTGTAGGTGCACACGCTGTCGCCACAGGATGGGGCAAAAGCGATGAAAATGCGCAGAAAATGTCTGAAGTGCTGCAGGCAGTGGAATTGCAAATTGTAGATAGCTTGGAATGTGGTGTGCAATATGCGACGAAGCAATATGTTATCACAGAGGAGATGTTATGCGCAGCCGCTGAGGAGGGTGGCAAGGATACTTGTCAGGGTGATTCTGGTGGTCCGCTGGTTGTTGATGGCGCGCTGGTGGGCATCGTTTCATGGGGCATTGGCTGTGCTCAACATTATCCTGGCGTATACGCAAGCGTGCCATATCATTTTGAGTGGATTGAGCAGCAAGCAGCGGTATACATGTGAAAGGGAGGAGAAGATAGAGGGAGACTGATAGGGCAGAGCAAAAATGAAAGCAATGAAAATTTTAGTTGAGATGAAAGTTGAAATTATAAAAGTGAATAAGTGTGCGACCAAAGAAAAAAAGGAAGGGCTGAACGAACAAATCTATAACTGTGCTTAGTTTCTATAAACTTGCCATCAAAATTTTTTTGTAAAAATAATTAAAGCTTGTTTCTGTAACTACTGCAGTGGTACTTCCCAACGCGAAAATGATCAAGCTCAACAAAATTGTTGAATATACATAATTGTTATTGGGCTAAAAAAATTACAAAACCAAAAAACTAGGTAATTATTGAATTTTTGTAAAGTAACAAATTAGGCTCTTGGTAATAGGCGCGCCAAAGCAAAATTATGTGATAACAGCAGTATTTTAATTATTTCCTTTTTTTTAATGTTAGTTTATAAAATAACATAAATGTATATATTGTCGTGTTATGTATCTTAAATCTTTTTACTTATACATTTAAAAAATCATCAACAAGGTTTTGGTTATCTAATAAAGAATGAAAATGGTTAAAATTTAATTATGTTTACGGAAAATCCATTAAAACAGCGTTGCACGAAATCGTGTGCCGCATTGAGAAATCCTTAGCGACAAAGGAATATATTTTGATAGCCTTCCTAGGCATCGAGGGCCCTTTCAACAACATCACACCTATGGAAATATACTTGTAACCAGTCTCGCTCCTACGCCAGCTGCTAAGTAATAAATAGACAGGGTTTTGTGAGCGGCCAGATACGTTTGATCGTAAGTCAAATGAAAGACAGATGGCAAGATAGTTCGAAAGAAATTTGTTATTCTAGCACAAGAGTCTGAGAAAAAACTCTCTCATTCACCAATCATGGTGAAAATGTATTTTGGGAGAATACACCTGGCTATCATTTATCTCGCGTCGCTCCAACAGTCGCAATGGTCGAGTGAACAAAGCAGAAGCGTGCCATACGAAAGATCCGAGTTCGATTTATTGTTTAGATTTTATTCTTTTAAGGGCCGAATTCACAGTGCTTAGTTAACTCAGAATCGGCAGTTAACTACAGATCAATTTAATTTTTAGAAACTTTTTTATTTGTGTTCTTTTTTATTTAATTTCTTTTTCTGTTAATTTCCCTTCTTTCTATTAATTTTTAGATTTATTTTTTAAAAAAGAAAGATACACTTTTACATCATTTAATTTTAAGGAACTTATTTATTTTTTTTTTTTTAAATACGTTTTTTTCAGATTAATTTTCTTTTAATTTGTAGATTTTATTGCTTAATTAAGAAAAATATTTTGTCAGCTTTTAATTTAATTTTTAGAAACATTTTTTTGTTTATTTTTTTATTTTGATATACTGAAAATTATGTCTTTATTTCATTTAATTTTTATGATATGTTTATTTTTTTTTGTCTTTTTTAATTTAGTTTTCTTTTAATTTTGTATTTTTATTTTTTTATGCATGTATGTATATAGTTTTTTTTTTAAGGAAAGTAGGTACCTCCAATGTACTCTCTAAGGTTACTAATTTGGTTTAGATCCGATCATTGGATCATGAAGAAATTAACGGTACTCTTAAATTTGTATACGACAATTGAAGATGGTTTTGTTTTTTGCTAAAACATTACTGGTTGTTATTTACTTTTAGTTATTTTTTTTATAAAAATACAGTTTACTCTTTAACAAAAATCGTATAAATTCAAGTTTCAAAATTTATGCCAAATTTGGAAAAAATTCAAAAATTTTTCATAAAAAACTAAATCTCATTTTCGTTGTTGGTGTTTCCGACAGGGTAGGAGTATGATGTAATGTGGAACGATTTTCCGTCACACAACGCCGAAACCGGTTTGTCTCCAAACCAAATTTGACAAGGGATGACGGAAAAACGTTCCACATTACATCAAAAAAATAAATATTTAGTTAGATTTTTTAGAAAGATTTTATTTATGCAGGTGTATACAGAATGCGAGCTCTAGCTTGGACTTTGATGGGCGTTGATCAGTATTTTTCTTTTAATCAATCTGTGTTGAAACAAAAGTGAAAAAAAATATATTTGGTCAGAACCCTCTCCGAAAAAAATCCTGGCTACGGCCCTGATCGGTATTATCTATATTTATATGTATATACAAGCTAGATATTACCACAATTTAGGCAATAATTTTTGATATAACTTATTTATAAGATGCATACAAAAATATCTGAATTTATCGTTTCATGCTTTTATTAAAAGGGAAGTTTTAAAAAGGCTGACAATTCAACTTTATGTGTTTTTTGGTTCTTGGGAAAACAAAATGGATCGTTAGTAGAACGGAGTAGCGCAATAAATTAACAATTAACTCGAAAATCGTTGTAAATCTACTACGATCGTAGTAAAGTCTAACGCAGCTCTCTGCTATGATCACTTTCGATAAACACTATCAATTTTCCTCTCAGCATGGATATCGTTATTGACAGCCTAGCTACTTCCGTTATTACCATTATTATCAGCTTCCTAACCGTTATTGGGGTAATTACTTTATAAATATTTGTATGGCAATCATTAGCTCTATCACTAAATTAACGGTCACTCTAATACCACATTTACGCTTTTATGAAACAAGTCGATATGTTAAATCTCTATGCTGTGTCTTTCTTTATTTTTCTTGATGCAAACATTCTTAATAACAAATATTTTTCAAACACTCATTTTCCAAGTTGTTCCTCTATCCATCGCCATAAAACAGCAGCATCGCTATATACACCAGGTAAATTAGGACGAGCACAGCCCACACCCCACGACACTATGCCCACCAGTTCACCATCTACCACTAGCGGTCCACCAGAGTCGCCCTGGCAAGCATCTTTGCCCCCTTCAGGCACCCCCGCGCACAACATGCGTTCCGTGACGGCATTGAATTGCGAATACTGCCCGGCACACTCAAATCGATCGACTATTTTAACGGCTACCTTTTGCAAAGTGCGCGATAAATAGCCGCCTTCTTGCACGCTACCCCAACCAGTTACAACGGCATCTGCGCCAACTTGTGGGGTTGCATTGGCTATGCGTATCGGCTGAGCCAAGTCACTAAGCGTTATGCGTGTTGCCACTTTGATCAAGGCTATGTCGTGGTCAATGGTGTTTGGGTTGTAGTTCTCATGTCGGAAGATACGATCAACGTCCACCACTTTATCGGAGGTACCGCCGAGCTGCGTTACGCCATACTCTACGCGATGATATTGCGGAGAGCTGGGTGTTACACAGTGCGCAGCTGTGACCACATACCAGCCGGTAGTGTTCTCGTTGCCAGTGTCCAAAATTGAACCGCCACAGCTGTGTGAACCGAATTGACGAAGGGATACTTGATAGGGAAATTCCTTGCTGTCGGCATCCTCACCGCCAACAATCCGACCATCGAGTGCTAGCAGACGTGTTGTGGTTATTCTTGCGTCGCTAATGGCTAGCAGTAATGCTAAGCTGAGAATAAGCAAATGTAACATCGCTGTGTTTTTTTTTAGTTACTCAGGCTAACGCTTGGTTGTAGTCTTCAACTGGCTTCTTGGTGCGTGCAATGGGTTTTTATATAGAACTCCAACTGCGATTCCAAATGTGTGGATGCGTGCAATTTAAAACTATTTTGATCTTATCTATTATTTATTGCCAGTAGATACTTCTATATTCAAGTATGTAAGTAAGTAGTATGTATTTCTGCATTGTACATTCAGCGTCAAGATAAGCAATCTAGATCAAGGATTTGATTTAAACGAAAATGAATGCATTGACCTAGACCAATTTAAATAATTGAAGTACATACTTATACTAAAGTTTATTGATTTATTGAATTGATGAATCATCTAATACAGCGTCATTCAATAAGTCCGCAAATTTTCCTTTATAAATAAAACGCGACAAAATTTTTTCGAAACGATTTTTTTAAATTTCATCAAGTTTTTTAGTCTATGGCATAAATGTTGCAAAAGAGAGATATTACTTTGTATCTTGATGGGATTGCTTTAAAAATGTGTTCAATGAAAATCGGGTTCGCGAACTTATAAAAATAATTACCATGCTAAAAATACTTGACATTTCAAAAACTACTGTTTCGTTAAAATTTTCCGAAACAGAGCAAAGTACTATTTCCGTGAGAACATTGTTTTTTATCGGTTTTTTATTTTTCACATCTGTTAGAAAATACATATCGTTGCCTAAATATAGAAAGGCCCTATCTCACATCGTCGCTGAAATGCACAAAGCCGTAACTAACTAAAATCTTTTATTGCATAAAACGATGTGAGGCCACATAATTCGATCAAATGCATCATAATCAATTAAAACGTAAATTTTCGATTTTTAGTTAGTTACGACTTTTTGTAAATCAGCGACGATGTCAGATAGGGCCTTTCTATATTAAGGTAACGATATGTACGTATAAACGCATCGTTATTTTAACGCGAACTCAAAATGGGCTTGTTTTCTTAATACAGTTTTTAATTTAAATTAATCGGTTAATCGCTCAAAATAGTTGTTAAACAAATTTCGAATGAAAACAGCAGATTTGGTTTGCTTTTGAATACGGTTTCATTGAGTGCGCTATTTTGGGTTTTTGTTAATGCGGTTCTTGCGTAGGAATAAACAAGGTACATACATAATGAAGGATGTACTAATGACAGAATCTTTCACTCAAGGTCCAATAAAAATGTAAAAAATATAAAATATTTTCTGGGACTCACCAGTTCTTTTGACCAAATAAAAAGGCAATTGAGAAGCGTTGAAATGCGAGAGCTCATCCGTACGTGCATAAGATTGTAAATACATATATAACATGTTTATGAACACAAGCATACATACATACATATGAACGATGGCACTCGGCAAACAACGGCAAACTGAAAAAGAAAAAACCAGCTTAAGAACAGTGGCGCATGTCTATAAAACTTGTCTAATCTGTG